TTTAAAATCTCAAATTTATAGAACATCCATCCAAGAGTTATGAAAATGGTAAATTTGTGCTTAGAAGAGCCGAGTTTGAAAGCTGGCCGTAGCCCATTCACCTAGATAGCGATGGCTTTTTGAATTCATGCAACTATCAGATTAACCTAAGCTTAATGTGTTGTAGAAATTTTAAAGATACAAACGGTGAATATTTCTGGCAAGGAGATTGGAAGAGAATGTGGGCCCCGAAATCTTCTACGTGTTAACGTACGTAGTTTGTTCGGCGTTACTGATCCACTGCGGAGAACACAACCGAATTTTGACAATTAATGAAAAACTGACCTATATGCAGTGGTCTGCTGACCTATATGACCTATATGCAGTGACAAAAACAGCAAACCTATATATGCAGTGACTTGGTAGCCTTTGCCTGTGTTTCACCCCTAAGCTGTAAACATAGACGGCAGAATCGGTGCGGAATCGGATAGGAATCGTCAGTGCAGTGCCCCATTCCGCCATATCAAAAGGAACATGTGGATTACCGAAGGAAGATACCATGAGTGCTGACACCATGAGTGAAGGCACAGAAAGGAATTTAAAGACGACTTCAATTTTGCTGGCCCGTATTAAGCGAAAGGCTGCATTTTCAATATTTCACTGTTTCAGTTTCATGTTTTCCAAGTCCAGCTAAATCGGAGAAATATACATATGAGCTCCCCACTCCCCCGACGCGGCACAAAATTCAAACAGCCTGGAAATTTCCTTCTCAGATAAAAAACAGCATAAAACTTACGCTGCGCTCCTCATGAATTGCATCAGATATTTGCTCCAAATTTCTCAACGACGATGTGTAATCATACTTTTTCTGCCGTACCTTCAAAAAAAGTAAAATATGCAAAATTGATTACTGCTATGAACACTTTAAAAAAAGAAACAATCGTCTGGACAGATCATCTGATAATACTGTGATGTAGTCCTTCCACTGATGATGTACAGACCTCGATATTTCGTCCGAACTACTGGTATGAAGCTCTCGATGCTAATAAAATGAAAATAAATACATTTTTTGTGGTCATAATTGAGTGGGCAAACACCTACCACATGATCTAACCTGCGTAAGACAGAACGGATTAGCGAGTTACCAGTGCCCTCAGTGGTGCACTGAACAAGGTTCGTCGGAGAAGGACGCAACAACAGCCGAAGCACAGCCGAGATGCGCCGTGTTTGGATTAGATGTTTTGTGCTTATATCGATTGGTATGTGAAGATTGCAGGAAATCCTGTATCATTGTGTGCATTGAGTTTTTATGCGTTTTTTGCAGCTATGCAATGCAGGAAACGCATACTGACGAGGGACTGCCTGCCTGTGTGTCCGTGTGTGCGTTTGCACCGATTTTTCACCTCAAGACCAACAAAAGATACAGGGCTGAAACTTTGGGAACTTAATCTACATGCACGTGCCGGCCCCAATCCCCAAAACAGGTGCCATCACCACGTTGTATTCTCGTGCGGGCCAGCCAAAATCTTTCTGGACTAAGTTCATAGGTCGGGGATCTAAGAAGCTAAAACGCTGCAATCTTGGGGTGATGTTTCCCGTCCAAGTAGGTGTTAATGCACTGGAACCCATCCCCCGGGTAAGCGTGATACCCGCTCACGGGCCCGCCAAAATTTTTTTTGGGCAAGTTCATAACTCGGGGCTAGAACGTTGAAATCTTAGGGGGATGTTCTCTGTCCAAGTGAATATTAAAGAGTTCAAACCCTGCCCGCGGGTAAGCATGGTACCTACGTACGGGCCCGTGAATGTTTCTTTCGAGTAAGTTGCTAACTCGAGAACGTGAGAAGCTAGAAGACTGGAATTTTGAAGGGATATTTCCTGGCAGTCCTGGCGGCCAGTCTGAAATTCTTTTAGCTAGAAGCATTTGCCGGAAAAACCAGTGCCGTTAGTGACGAAAATGTAAGAGGAGTTATGCAAAAAACGCATCCTCACACGGGCAGCGTTGGCCAATTATTTTTTTCTTGGTGGAGGGAGGGAGAGAGGGAGGGGGGCAAGAGAAAGGAGTGCTTACTGGTTTACCAGGCCCAATACACTCTTTCATTTCTCAAGAATTATTTATTCTGTACAAAGGTTCCGGGAAAATTAATTTGAAAAGGGTGGAAAATTTCGAAGCAAAATCAGCAACCTCAGTCTCAAGTTTGAGGATATGATTTTTCTGATGTTCCAGAATCCTTGTGAATTCAATACGTTGTTCGAAGTAGAGGCGACTTTTCTTTATGGCTCGCGCATTTGTCTTCTCCATTGCAGCAATCTCTTTCGATAGCTGTGTCATTTGGTCCGAAATTCGACGATGCGATTCTTCTGCAGCCAGGCGCTCACGTTCCGCTTCATTGACCCGTTGAATGTGATGGTTTAGCACCTGCAAAAAATGCATCCGTTATGAAATGCACATTTTCAGAAAGATTTTAAGGAACCAATTTCTCATTTCTCCAGCTGCACCGATAATATTAAACGACAGACGATAGCTGAGCAAACTCTGAACTTCCAGGTGATGTTTTTATCTTAAAAAAATTGCATAATTTGGGTTGAAACAGGAAGAACATCTTTAGTCTGTAAAGTGTAATGCTGGCACTTAACAGAAGAATAATAACTGGCCAACGCACAGGCTGCCCGTGCGAAGATGCGCTGTTTGCATAGTTCCCAGCAGTTTTTTTCGCTACCGGCACCGGCTTTTTCGGCAAATGCTTCTAGCTAAACAAATTAAGACTGGCTGCCAGAACTGTCCGAAACACCCCCTTAAAATTTCAGCTTTCTAGCTTCCCTGGCTCCTGAGTTAGCAACTTCCTGGAAAAAAACTTTCACAGGCCCATGCGTGTTTACCACGTATACCCGAGAACTGGGTTTGAGCTGAATGAAACTAAGGTGGACGGGGAATACCTTCTTAAAATTACAGCCCTTTAGCTTTTCAGGTACACGAGTTATCAACTTACCCGAAAATTTTGGCGGGCCCGTATGTGGGTACCACGCTCACCCGGAATCTGGATTTGAGCTCATTAATACCTACTTGAACGGGGAACATCACCCTAAGATTTCAGCTTTCAAGCTTCTCAGATCCCCGAGTTATGAACTTACCCGAAAAAAAATTAGGCGGTCCTGTACGCGGGCAGCACGCGGGTAATGACGTCCATTTTGGGGATTGGGGCCCGTCCGTGCATGTAGATTAAGTCCCCAAAGTTTCAGCCCTGTAGCTTTTGTAGGTGTTGAGATGAAAAACCGTGACAAACGCACACACAGACACACACACACAGACAATCCCTCATCAATATGCATTTTCTGCATTGTACAGCTGCAAAAAACGCATTAAAAATAGGGTGTATTAATGACGGAAGAAAGAAGACGAAAAGTAAAAAAGGCAGAAGATGAGAATTACAAAATTTGCAAATTATAAGAATTAATCAAATGGTAAGAAATGTTATCACTAGTCTGCAGACGTAGAAGTAGTACCTCAAGGCATTCCGGTTCGATGGTGCGTTGCCGATTCAAACTGTCCTGAGTGAGTTTGACCTGTTGCTTCGCCACTGCATGCATCGAATTGGCACGCTCAAAATGAATTGCTGCATTCTGCGCTTCCTCTCGTAGTTGTCGTTCCTAAAAGGCAAAAAATTTTTCCAACATTTCATAGGATTCGCAGGAAAAATAATCCTTTGTTTTGTATTTTTTTTTTCTTTTTATTTCATTTGCTTTTTCTTATGTCCTTTTTTATGCGTTTTGTGCTGTGTAACAGCAGTACAAAACGCATATTGTTACGGGGTTGTC